CTTTCTCTCTCTCTCTCTCTCTCTCTCTCTCTCTCTCTCTCTCTCTCTCTGTTATCATTAGCACGCGTCTGTGTAACAGCATTGTAAAGGGAGGATTGCGTGTAGCGTGTAGGGTGCGCATCTGTTTGCCTGGCGTAGGTCGATGTTGCTCTCGCCGACCTTCGCTTTATGGACGGAGACTCTAGGATGGGAACACGATTTCTCGATGTCAAGTTGATGTTACGCTATTAAAGGCTCACTCGACCTCGACTTTGAAAAATGCCTTCCTTTAACACGACCAATTTCGATCGCAAATGCATTTCTATTTGATATTTATTTTGTTTGGATTTGTTTAGAAGCGCGATTTTTCTTTACCTTTTTCGCGATCACTGCCCACGTCACGATAAAATTACGCAAAAACCACGAATAAAGAACTACGAGCGCAAAAGGACCTATGAGGTTTGAGGTTGTTTGGTTATTTACCGTGAAGCTACTCGCATGTTAAAGAAGCTTCGTTTGCAATTACATTTGTACAAGTCGTGAAATACTTGGTTGGAAAGCATTTTAATTGGATACGCGTAATTAGCTTGCCTCAGATCTACTCCAAGAATCTATAAATTATCATAATTTGAAAAACTGTAGATTCGTATCTGTACAAGATTTTCACATTTCGAGGTTTAATAATGTTAATGTTTGGAGCGAGAGGGAAAATTCATCATTAGATAAGTAAAAGGTGCATTTGTTATAGAATCTAGACGATAAAATCTGACGTGTTACTTACGCTCCCAGCATAAAGTATCCGAAACGATCAGTTACTCGAATTCTCGAAAGTATTTCCACGAATCCGTGGACACAAATGAAAAATAAGCAAAACCATTTAAATAAAAGGAGCGATAAATCAGAAGAGCTTGCGGAGGCCGGAGGTTCATTGATCTTTTTCGTGGTAACGGTAACAGTGGCAGCAGCACTTCGGCTACTGGCCAAAATTTTCCCCGCTGCGTCATTCTCGTGGCGTGTTTTTTCATGTAAATTTGCGCTGTAGGGAGACACATCGAGGAAGAGTCGGTTCTGCAAAAGCGTGATGAGGAGGAGTCGGTGGGATAGTGGGTAGACGGGGCAGAGAGAGAGAGAGAGAAGACCGGTGATGCAGATAGAATGGCGCTTGTCGGTTTTTGGTGGGGCGTTGTGTCGGCGCGTGGGGGGGGGGGAGTTTTGGAGTGGAGGACGGAGGATGACAGGCAGTGGAAGTGCTAGAACGATCATGGAAAATGAAAGCCGCGTTTTGAATCAACAGGAGTTTTCACGACGCCGCGAGTGAGATCTATTTTCGTTGCGCTCGGACAAAGTGCACTTCATCCCGCGGCAATTTTGGATTTCGTTCAAATAGCCGAGTAAGCCGCGCGCGAGCGAATAATTTCATTTAAATAATCCCGATTTTCCTTACGGCTTGAGCGTCCCCGGCCACCCTTAAACAGTCCACTGTCGGTGTCGTTTGACTTTCCCGCCATGAAAGGGAGTCGCGGGTAGGATCGTTGATACCACTCGCCGTAATTATCGAAACAAGGAGTTACGAGGAGATGCGCCTGTTGTCCTCCCGGTCTCAGTCAATTGGCCTGTGCATTTGAAGAAACGCGAGTCGCCGGGAGCTTAAGAAGCACGATAGAAATTTAAATCGCCTCATTATGGTAGCTTGCGGCGCGTAGACTCGCAGTCATCAATCGCAGAATCTCAAATCTGGGCGCGGGGAAAGCAAAGGATATGTCGGAGCAAAAAAAGAGAAAAAAAAAGAGCCCGAGTTCGTCGTGTGCAGCACGTCGCGAACCGTCGAATCAGCGCGTCGCGTAGTAGTAAATAACAGTTGCAAAAGGGACGAGCTTGCGGTAAGGTCGAAAAGGTCGAACGGTGAAGTCCAACGTTGCCAAAGTCGAGTCTTGCGGTGGTGAATGGGGGTTTTTTTTGGGGGGGGGGGGGAGCGGAGCCGCGAAGCACGTAACGCCGGATGAGAATAATGCCCGAGGATTGCGGCATAATAACGGAGAGTCGTGCACCGATGAGGTTCCCTTTGTGATCCGTGGGCCCGTCCCGACGCGGAAGAGTCCGCGTCTTTTCGCAGGTCTGAAATTAGGCGGCTCGTCACCGCTGGCATTATCCGATGTCTCGGCTAATAGCGCGGTGCCGTCTTAGCGAGCCTCGGCCACTTCCGCTTCGACTCGCTTTTATTTACGCGCCTCACGTCCGCCGCTGCCAAAGTAAACGCCCCGTGAAAATTCGCGCACGAGTGCCTCCTCCTCAACATACCCCCCGTCATCCCCCGGCCACCATCATCCCAGTTCCTCCAGCAACTCCTACTGCGAAATGCAAAGTGGAGCGCGTTCTATTTGTTTTTTGCTCGTATTTTCTTTGGCCCCTTCTCGCGATTCAGCCGTAAGGTATTATTATTATAGTCTTTGCATCAGTCGTCGTCGCGAGGAGGCTCGGCACTTGTCGCCACGGAATTCGCCATTATAAATGGAATTCGAACGGCGACGGGAAGTACGTTGGAGAGGTTGACGTAGCTGGCATTCGAGCCGAATGCACCGAAGCCGCTCGTTCGGAATACGATGTTTTCAGGATTCTTTCCTGCACCTACGACGCTTAACCTACATTGGCCAATTGGACGGCTTGGTTTTTCGGTTGACGCGCGACTATATCCATTGCTAATTTCGACTCGTTCGTCCTATTTAATATTGAACTCGATGTGCAGCTCACACTGGTTGGTTTTTTAGGCCGATTAATCAGGGGCCTGAGGAACCGTGCAAATGGCGCGGAGGATGCGAGTGAAGCTATTATCCTCCCACGGGTAAGACCCAGCGGTAGACTTCATTTTTATATTATTTATTATTTATTATCGTTATTGCTGCTATTAGATGAAATTGGCTCTCTCTTCTTCTACTTCGTCTTCTTCATCATCACATTCTTCAATTTTCATTTTTTTTCACTTCCTCTCCTTACCTTTTCCCATTCTTTTCTCTTCATTTAACCTTTTACTGCATATTACTCGGCTAGAAGTTTAATTTTGATGTTTAATCTTTTGGCTTCTGATTCGTACTAAGTCACTTGGAAATGGTAAATATTCATTAAAACGCTACACGCATAAGAAAGCGATCGATCTTCTTAAAGACGAACCTTAGAGTCGTTTTGCCGTTTATTTTTTATTTTACCTATTGCACTACTAACAGAAAGGGCGATGACGTTGCAAAGCCAAAGACTTATATATAATTTGCCGTTTTCGCGTTCTATTGACAAATCACATTAAATTTATTCATCAACTGAAAAGTGCTCCGCTACTTTTGCGCAATTAATTTCCGTGGCGCTTGTCATTGCGTCGCTACGTTCGCGCAAAAATAACAAGGCTACATCGTAGGGTTGATCGTTACAATAAATTTCGCCGTACAAGCGAACAAGTTGCCCGTCGACGTCACGGGCGCGTGTCGGCCGAGTGTCACGTTGGTTTCTCCCTCCGAATGCACGTTATGATTATTTTTTAGTTACCTTGTCGCGTCGCCAGTTACGTGTCCGCAGTAACGACCCGCGCTTTCGTCAAGATCCTCGACCTCGTCGGAAAATTGTACGTAGGCTCCCTCGCATCTGGCGTTCTTCAAAATGCCAACTTGCATCCTCCTGATTCTCATTTCTATTACCTGAAAGAAGAAGAGGCAAATGGGGAAGATAAAATGAGGAAGAGAGACAGAGAGAGAGAGAGAGAGAGAGAGAGAGAGAGAGAGAGAGTGAGAGAAACGATGAAAAATAATCATACGCGTTACATAACAAAATTCCGAAACATTACTCCAACGAAACAACCACTCAACGACCCTACTAATTTCTAATTTCTCCCTTGGTCTTTCGCAAACTTCTCGCTCCTCTAAGAAAGATTATTATTATTTTTCGCGGGCAATAATACCCGTTGCTTAAAGCTGCGGCCAATTATCGCGGAGAATTATAGTTAATGCGCGTCCTGTGATAAGCAGTTGCGAGCTATGAGGAATCCTTGGTACAAATATGCAGTGAGGTCAAGGCGACAAGTTGTGGCGGAATGTGGTCGGCTCGTCGCATTATGAAATTTTAGCTCTGTAAGCGAGGAGGAGTTCGCGAACGTAAATTGGAATTGTTCGTCACTGGGCGTTATATCCTCGAGGACGAAAGTTTCCCAAGAACGTGCCGATCGAGTCCCGTTACCGCCACTACGAATACAACTTCGCACGGTCGTTATTGATATTGTCTCGGGCCACGCACGCAACACCATTCAATTCACGAATATACATACGCGCCTTTAATCACATTACTTCGAACGTTGTTTGCGCAAGAATTTGAGACTCGTGCGATGGGCGAGATGTGGCGCAAGTTCCCAGGTGCTTCGAGCCCGACGTTTATTCGACATTGCGCCCGCGCACACGGGATACATTACGAGATTAGCGTACAGCTAATCGATCAAGAAGTTGATTCGCGGCGGGAGGGAACACATATATAGAGAGGGAGATAGAGAGAGAGAGAGAGAGAGAGAGAGAGAGAGAGAGAGAGAGAGAGGGGGGAAAGAGAAGCGTAAAATATACAGTTTTACATACCTGCGGATCCCGCAAAGGTGCTCTGATGCGCACAATGCACCTTCCCATCCGGCCAGTCCATCGTATCCATCCCACGGAGTTCCTCACCGTGCGGTTACATCCTGACGGAGATAAAAAAAAACACGCATACAGAGATAGAAACAAAAATATAAGATATACATATAAACGGTGTGTCATCGTAAGACCTTCGATCGCCCTTCTAATTGAATACTCGTGTAATACCTGGCGTAACTCGCCATCATATGAAATTTACGATCAACTATTATGTCAACTGAGTAAATAAAACGCGAAATCGCGCGACTATCCGATTAAGGCAGTGGGGGACTCGCGTTGTAAATTATGCACTGCGAAACAAATACATGGAATGAGATTAGTCGCCGTCTGCCAATTGCAGGCCTAATCCCGCGCCCTCGACTATAAAGGACAAATAAAAAGGCGCGTCTTTCCGAGCGAGATGGAGGAAATTTACCATCGGCCCGATAACCGAAACGTCATCTTCCCACGAGCGACCTGAGAGCCGTACCCCCTTCCACACACACACACACCCCTCCCCTCCCACCCCCCGTCCCTCGTAAAGTCGATAAATCAAGGTCTCGAAAGAGATCTAGAGCTGACTTCCCTCGGCGGCAAATCGCGATATTTTGCGCTAGTTGTTTATCAAGCCGGAGCCAGAGGGACTTTCATTAGCCGGCAACAGGGGCCCTCAAAGCCTCCACGCTCGATAAGGAACTTAAATTCTTCACAGCTCATCGGACGGGCGCGTGGCGTCGATGAGCGCCATGATTTATTGCCCATCCGTTTGCCGTAGATACAGTCTGTCGCATATGTGCGCGTGTGCACACGGAGCTGCTACACGATGGTCGCACGGCCCAAAGATACTGCCCATCCATCCTTTTTGTCTAAGCCCGCTCTCCGCCTCTTTAACTCTGTCTCTCTCTCTCTCTCTCTCTCTCTATCTCTCTCTCTCTCTCTTTCGCCCATGCGTATACGACGAGGCGTAACGACGCGCGCTCTCACTTATTTTTGCATGCTTATTTTGCGTCCCACCCCTCGGTTCTCTAGCTATTAGCCTGCGACTTGAACTACATTCGCGACGTATTTACGAGGGCCCAGGTTAGGCTTACGCTCGGGACGATAAATCAAACTCTATCGTCTATTCGGCCCTTCCTCCTGTGCCCATAAAACGGGAAAAATACGACACTACTCGGCACTACTTGGGAGCTCAAAAGCTCTTGTCGCGATAATTTGGATTTTACTTAAGCGCCCTCAAACTTCTTCAAAGTTCCCTATGAATTCACTCGAATTTAATTCTATTAATTTAGTTTTCACGCACCTAGTATTATTGGCACTAAAGACTAAAGGCAAACTAAAGGCGACCTTTCTTTTCTTTTCTTTTCTTTTTCTTTTTTTTTTTACACTACACCCTATTTATGATTCTCCCTTCCGTATTCACTTTTTTCTCCTATTTTTTCTTCGTCTTTCCACGAACATCAGCACCCCCCCCCCCCCCCCCCCCCCCCCTCCGAATACTCCATTAACAATATTTTTAAGCATTAAGAGGTGATAATCGATCGATTGTGTAAGGTTTTAATATTTATCTTTAACTTTGACATCCGTCTTTTCCTATGAAAATCGCACATACTTTATCCTGACGATCGATTACTATTGTCTTATTCGGCTACGAAAATTTACTTTGATCTCGATATTTTTGGAAATTAAGATACGTAGGAAGAGCGAAGGGAGAAATGCTCGCGTAGCGGTTGACCAGCAGAAACATACACGTAAAGTTCTTTCCTCGCGATACGGAAAAGCTGCCTGTCCCACATTATCGCCGTTCGATGGGCATAAACATTAGCGTACTTCAAAATTTCATTCATCCCCTACCCACACCCATCCCCCTCGCAACTGAACTACGGCAATTAAAAAAGTAAGGCAAGTGCGAGAGAACACGGGGCGAGGCAACGTAAAAGCTCTTGACAAAAATCATTCAACCTAAAAGCGCAATAATTTTCAAATGCTCTGGCAGCCAGCGCCTATCAATCGGATTGTATGTGTGTGCGCGCGCGCGCGCGCGCACGTGTGTGTAAGTGGTATGATAAAAAAAGCACTCCTTGGTTTCCAGGCCATTTAAAGCAGGCGAGCGGTGCCTGTGGCTGCCGTGGCATCGCTTTGTTGCCCTGAAAAATCGTGAAATATAATGACGCACAAAGTGCGCGGTCCCTCCGCCCCTCTCAAAGTCATTGCCGACGGGGGCGAGCGTCGCGTGCGCGCGGCACGTGCGAGGATTTCCCGACCGGGTCACGTATTATCGATAACACCCTGGCGGCGCGAGAACGAGGGAATTAATGCCTCGCTGGCTTTTAATGCGGCCCCGAGGCTGAGCGATACGTAACCTCGCGTATTAGCGTAGCGGGGCCGGAAGCAAAAAACGTATCGCGTGGGAGGAGGAGAAGACGGGTGAATTAGGGCGGTCGGAACTGCGGGGTGGATCGTGCTCGAGGATTGGGAGTTGCCGAGGACTACGTAGATAAGCCCGGGGCACGCTGCTGCGTCTCACTTTTATGCGATAAGCGGTGATCTCGGCGGCTCGTCGTCTTAAAATCCAGTGCCCTCGACTCGATTGTCCTATTATGCTTTTTCACCCGCGAGACTCCACGTGTCAGCGGTTCTTTATTTCTCATGGTTTATTCTCGTGTTCGTATTTCATTAGAGAGTGAGATGGACGGGGCCCGGCGCCAACTGGGAATGCCGCGCAGCTAATCGAATCTCGCAGGGTTGGAGCGCCGCTGCGCCGACGAATAATTCATGATGCGTCGCTGTGTACTCTTAAATTACGAGGAATCTTCGGCTGAATAAGCGATCATGCGAAAAGAAAGGTGAGGGCGCGAGGACGAGGACGGGGGACAGTGGGGCCGGCGGGGGGGGGGGGGGGGG